GCATCATCCAGAAGATACAAGTGTTTATTAACAGTTGTCTACGAAAAAAAAACTTCGGATTCGTTGACCAGACACCATCAGCAACAACGTACTGTGGGAGAGAACAAACCAGATTCCAGTGGAGGAGGAAATGAGGAAGAAGTGGTGGAAGTGGATAGGACACACATTACGAAAAGCATCTGACTGCGTCACAAGACAAGCCCTTACATGGAACCCTCAAGGTAAAAGGCAAAGAGGAAGGTCAAGAAACACATTACGCCGAGAAATAAAGACAGACACGAGAAGAATGAACAAAAATTGGACAGAACTTGAGAGGGAAGCCCATGACAGATTTGGTTGTAGAAAACTGGTGAGCAGCCAATGCTCCATTGGGGGTAACAGGCGTAAGTAAGTAAGTACGAACAAATCGAAAATGCTCGCTTTACAACAGTTATAAAAATCGAAAAACCGATGACTTAACTCAAACAAACTATTGTTTCATCGTTTGCAATAGAGTATTATGGAGATCGTTGTTTTACACTGAAATCATGAATGAATCATTGTTAGACTGCAATTAGAAACCTGTTGTAAGCACTGAATGACCGTTTCTACTGTATATGGGATTTATCATATCACCAGTAAGCATACAGGACTCCTACAACTCGTACGATTCGAACCTAGAACCTTCTTCGGTCTTGTGCGCGAACGACTAACTCCAGGATCATTGAGACAGCATCCAACCATGTTGATGCCTAACGATTTTGCGCAACATCACCCATTGCCTTCGATAGTTACTGCCCACACTCGACTGCGTTCATTTCCATTGGTCACGTCATCTCACTAGACGAAACAACTTTACAATGCTTTCAACTTGGAAACGCTATACCTTATTGTTGGAATAAAAATAATTGTAATGTGAATATTCACGCTCATATATATTACTCTGTTAATTTACTATGCACAAATATTTGGTTACGAGAATGCAAGTAATCATCACATAATATTCTGTCCTAACACAAGTTAATGATAACTTCGTTCACATTGAAAATCGGGCAAATACTCGCTATACTCGAACTCGAAGTCACCTTCTCCATTTTGTTTCACTTTGCTTGTACGCTTTCATTGAATCCAGTATGTACTGATCAGGTGTTTTGTCCTGACATTTTACTTTCCAACTCTCATCACTGAACCCTAATTCTTCTGGGTCTGATTATTAACTGGGTCGTGAATGCTAGGGTGGAACAACCGTGTTATGCTTCCTGGCTTCTGATGATTGTAGAACTAAGATAACATCAGTCCATGTGGTAAACTATAAAACTCATCGACCTTCACAAACCATTCATAGACATTCTTTCTATTGCCTGTCTGCTTGTATGAACGATTCTTTTTTGAAACAAACTCATCCAACTCAATTAGACTTCTTTATTACTGCTATAGCATGGATGAAATTCACGTGAGTGTACTATATATACGAAGATTGAATGGAAGATTTATTGCATAGCTTATTCAATCATTTTTTCTGGAAACGGAGGTGGGGAGGGGGTTAGATTGCGGACCAGAAAACTGATGAGCACATATGTTACAAAATCTTAGCTCCTAAAATGACCGACCTATAGCTGCGTCCAATTCTCAATAAGAATATGCGTGAAATTGACCAAATGATGGTACATGTCAACATAAAATCAATAAGTTAATACTTTCGTTTCCTTATCCTTTAATAAAAATATGTATTGGTAGTTTTGTCATTCACCACTGACTCAATATATAAATTAAATACGAATGAGATAGAAAATTCTGAGAAATTCATTTATGTAAGCGAGTGAGTGAGTGAGTGAGTGAGTGAGTAAGTGAATTAGTTAACTATATAATAACTAGTAGACTGATGATAGTTGTCCGCCCTTGATGATTTCAATGAGCAATGAATTATTTGCTTATATTATTTAGAATTATCTGTTAGGAAATAGGGTAATGTACTTACTTACTTACTTACTTACGCCTGTTACCCCCAATGGAGAATAGGCTGCTAACCAGTATTGTCCAACCAACTCTGTCATGGGATTCCCTCTCCAGTTCTGTCCCATGTTTGTTCATTCCTCTCATATCTTTCTCTATTTCTCGGAAAAGTAATGTGTTCCTTGACCTTCCTCTTTTCCTTTTGCCTTGAGGGTTCCATGTGAGGGCTTGTCTCGTGACGCAGTTAGGTGCTTTCCGCAATGTGTGTCCTATCCACTTCCACCACTTCTTCCTGAATTCCTCCTCCACTGGAATCTTGTTTGTTCTCTCCTACAGTACGTTGTTGCTGATAGTGTCTGGCCAACGAATCAGAGAGTAAACAACCTTGCCTGACACTGGTCTTCACCTCGAAAGAGTCTGTTAGCTGTCCTCCGTGCACAATTTTGCAGTTGAATCCATCATAGAATAATAAAATTTATTAACATTTTGTGTTGATTTCACCTAATTTCATATTTGAAATAACAAGAATAAAATGTCTTAATTAGGAAAAGTGTACTTATTACGGTGGATAAATGAATATATGCATACATGAGCGCTATGTGTTAAGAATAGTCAGTGTAAAAGTATTCATTTGATCTTGCGTTGCGGCATTGTAATTGAAGATAGGAATTCAACAAAACTGATAACAAGGGAATGATGAATATGTATGTGTATTCATTAAGGTTTTTCATTTGGTAGTACACTTACAGCAAATGGATAATAGTACATTTTATGCATGCTAAACACTAAAACAGTTAAGTAAGAATGATGTAAGGCAATCATAGAGCTATTTCATTATTTTACAATTTCTTGAAGATTTGAAAACTTCACCTGGATCGCTTCTCGGATTACAGTCGGTCTTGATGAGGGGGATGCAGGCGTAGATGACAAGTCAAATGTTGTAATTGCTTAGTATTTTGATGAACTCTAAACAATGTAGCTTAAAACCAAACTAACCCACTTGAGCTACAGATGTCTACTAATTTTCTGAAAATACTTAAAATGTTACTGTTAGAAATTCATGAACGAAGGCAATAATTTTAGGTGCTATAAAACTGAAGTTCTGAGCTTAATAGTGTTCATCGCATAGACGGTCTAAATCTATGATACTTTAATAAGTCTACTCTACCCAGTTTAGTGTCTTGACATATTTATCTACTGAAGGACAAGTATTTTCAAGCCTAAATACTGTTCAATTCTATTGTTGTGTATATTAAAATCTTTTTACCCAATGCCAACACTGTACACAACAAAGATTGGATTATATTTTTCTGGTTCGTTGGACTACTTCCCCTTAAAATATTTGGTCTTTGTGGTAATGTCAGACAGACAGACAGGCAGATACAACGCAGAACTTCGTACGTAAGTATATCAGTCCAGGTTGTCATGCCCACTATCAGCACAGAAACGCAACTGTCAGTTCAAATCCAACAGTGATAGCAATAATAGAAGTATTAGCAGTAATGGAGAAGATTAGGGAGAGAAGATATGATTCGAGAAGTATAATTCAGTAAGATAAATTTAGAAGGAGAAAGGTAGAGATCATGAGGAATTCAGAGGCTTAGAATTTCATAGAACACAAAGAAAGGATGCATCTGTGCCATTGCAAACGATTTTGAGCCATGTCATTCAAGGTTCTCTAACCATGAAAACAATCTGTGTGTTATCATAACAATATGTCCCAGTATAACAAACAGAACCTAAAGTTATGATTGGAAATAAGCTACACCGAAGAAATAGTACTTACTTACTTACTTACACCTGTTACCCATAATGGAGTATTGGCCACCGACAAGTCTTCTCCAACCTATTCTGTCCTAAACCTTCTTATCAAGTTCTATTCAACCGATGTTCATTCGTCTCATGTTTGTTTCTATTTCTCCGAGTGATATGTATGTTCTTTGGTTCTCCTCCTTTCATTTGACCCTAACCTTGTATATGCAACCATGAGATGTCCTTCGAATAGCAGGATTCGTGGATGTTCACTGGTGTGATAAGTCAGTCCCATACGAGGACGAAACGACCACATTCAAGTGCTTCCTAATTTCTAATACTGTAGTGAACGAGAACACAGGTGGGGCGACCAGATTGTGTTTAACGAAAAGTACAGAGTTAATCAGTAAAATAGGAAAACCATATCGTAAATCGTTAATTTGCAAATCTTCAATCCATCATCAATCCATTGTATGACATTTCACTGCTGATGCGTTTCATACAAATTCCATTGTGTTCTTCTAACTCTTCCTTTCTTGATCTTCCCTCATATTCTTCTGCTGCCAGACATTACGTTGACACTCACGTCATATACTACTTATAAGTAGCTCACACCACAATACTAGTCTAACATTTATTCCTAATTTCAATGCAAAACAACAATCTCTATCATAAATAATACTTTAATGCTAAATTTTTATTATTAGTAGTATTTTACATTCCACCACTCGATTTTTCTATTTATTCAGAAAACAACATCACTTCTTGTTTGTTTGACTTGACCTAACTTTACGCGCAAATTCAAAATCCTGCCTGATCAAAACGATTACACATAATGTTAGTTAGGTAAAAACAAAACGTGCTCTGTTCATGCTTCGGGGACACACACACACTCACAAACACACACATAAACACGTACGCATGCACATGATTCGATCAATCCAATGAGAGTATGACATTTTCACATGCAACAAGAATCCAATAGAAGAAAGTTTTAAACAACCCGGTAACCTTAGTAACGAACAACACGAAACCTTATGAACCAACCATATTATCTCGTTGTTGTTTATATTTCTGGAAATTCTATTACATATTAGATCATTGCTATTATTCTTGTTATTATTGTTATTATTACTAATATTTCTAAAATAATTTTCATTTGTGCATCCATTGATAATCATTTGTGGGTGTTGCAATAAAGAGAGAGAGAGAGGAGAGCAATTGAAAATTGTATAAATTTGATAGACTGAACAAAAATACATCACACAGCATTCATCCATCCATCCATCCATCAGGACAAGAAAATTGACTGGTCATCACATTGACAATTGATTGAATCAAATAAAGTAAGTTTTCAAATTGAGTCATTGAATTTTGATTGTTCATCGGTTTAACGTTTTATTATTTTGACTATTAAGTTACATGTACATGGCATGTGCTATATGACATGGTGTCCAGTTTGAAAGAACAAACATGCTATTGCTTTGATTTATGGGCGGTTTATTTGTTTTTCTCAACTTGGAACACATAGGTAATGTAAAAAGAAATCTCTCTCTCTCGAGCACACACACACACGTATTCATAAACATTTATAATATAAAATTTTGATAGAACAGTGAGAAGATGTAATTGATCTGTGGAAAAAATGTGATTACAGCGACTAAAACACAGCCATAAAAAGAAAACATACAACTCTCTGCTAAACTGATTATAAGTCAAAAGACTAAGCTCATGATTCCACGTAGGCTTAAACGTTGCTTGAATGATGAATAATATTACATCCGATTGTATTTATCAATTGACATGTTTGTATCGACACACATGCATACATAGAGAGGAGTTGTCGGAGTTTACAATCAAGGATTATGGAGCATCACATACCTAAGTGGCTTCAAAATTAGTTAACGTCAGAAATAGAAAACCATGTTCATCGATCGCCAAACACATAATTAAGAGACAGAGCATATAAGATTGACCATGAAGACAGCCTTCAAAACATTGTGAAAGAAATGTTGAAGGACGAATTTTGAGGTTTATGGAAGGAAGCCTTGGCTATTCGTAAATTAAAACACTCCTTATGTTTAAGCCTAGGGTAATGTTACAATTTCCTACCCTTTCTAAATCTTTCCATTGTACGTTAATTTTCTCTCTCCTTCATTTACAATGATCACCTTATGTCTATTTGAACTTTTATTACTCTTCATGCATAAAATGCCTTGACAAGTGTGATATATGTGTGTCCAGATTGTTCGAAATATGTTTAGCGCACAAATACATCACACACTGTCATTCAGATCAATTTACTTCTTCTCACTGTTCTATAGAAGACTCCAAGTAAAATGTTCCAATATTGGCAAAGTTGATGACTTCAATTTTTTCTTGTGTGTGTGTGTAAAAGTCCAAAAATGAGACATTTGTAATTGTAGTTAAATGGAAACATTCGTTCATGAACAACAAATCTCTATTTTTTTTAAAAATCACATCATCTTCATGATATTATATAGTTCAATAGTTTTTATCCCCCTAGAATTTTTACACATTTTTGTTTTCGGTATTAAACATTGTGTATATTCAAAAAAGTTGATAGATAAATATATTTGAAATCATCAATTAATCATTGTTAGACCAACACCATTAGAAACCTGGAAGCACTGGACGGCCGTTTCGTCCTGGTATGGGACTCATCAGTGGCAGTGCGCATCCACAACTCCTGCACCTCTCAGGATTCGAACCCAGGACCTTGGCTATCATGCGCGAACGCCTAACCATCGGACCACTGGGCTGGCCGGCATCCAACGGTGTTAATGTCTAACTCGGATTGATTGATGATTTCAAATGTGTAAAAAACACGAAAACCTCCAAATTTTTGCCCGAAGATAAATTTAGACAGTAACAAAAGTTGAATTCATCTTAAGCTAAGAATATTACTGATCTAAATTGATGTGTTAGTCAAGTTCTGTTTGAATTTTTTTAAAATTTTTATGTCACTGCGCCGCTCGCTATTTATGGAACCTCAATGAATGACTGATATTCTGTATTTTAAACGTGTATGCAATGCTTAAATCGGTCGGTTGGTCGGTCTTTCGGTCGATCGATCAACAACAACATAGAACGTCGTACGTACGTACGTACGTGCGTACATCAGTTCAAGTTGCCATACCCACATTTGTACACAGAGAGATGCCAATGTCACTTCAAATCCCATAGTAGTAGAGGTAGGAGAAGTGTTAGCAGTAATAGGAAATTGTATAGTTCGAAGATGTTATTCAAGAAGTAGAATCTAGTGGGATAAACTTAAATAGAAAAAGATAAAAGTGATGAGGAATTCAAAAGATTCGAATTAGAGAGAAAAGACAGAGAGTGAATGCACCTGCGGCATTGCAAACAATTTTGAGCCATGTCATTCATGGTCTCTAACCATCGATTACTATCATCTCGCAGACCTCAACCAGATAGTCTACATCTACCAACATGACTCAATCCACTTGCCAGTGACTTTATGGATTTGTGCCATGTTTTGGTTTGGCCGCCCCCGTAGCTTTCTTCCAACCTATTCCTCCATCGCAAAGCATAGATCGTTAAGGCAGTCGGTAGTTAGGCATACGTGATACATAAACTATATTAATGGTTGATTAGTCAAAATTAGTTTTCCAGTTGATAAAATCAAACTCAATAATCTGTCGATTAATGCAACACTTTTCTTCATGATGATGACGATGATGGTGATCTTCAGATCTACTTTAGTAAAACAGTCGATGATCAATATGTGTGTGATAATTAAGTACATAGCTATTGTTTCTTCAATGTGAGTTTAACAACAAACATCACACTTAAATCATCTATATATGATTTTCAAAATGATTAGGTTGGAACATAGACTAAAAGGAATTAACTTTTGAAATATATATATATATATATATATATATATATATATATATGTCACACTTTGAATTCATTTCATTGGTAGTCATAGAAATAGTTAAGTTATATAAGTAATTTCTTGTTAATTTCCTCAAATGTTGGAATCTATATATTTCAATATTCAAGAAACATGTATTTAAATTGTATTCAAGTTGTTATAATAATCAAGGGTGATGAGAGAGACTTCATTAAATGTTCACATTGAATTTTGAACCCAGTACTTATTGATTCAAACATCAATGCATCATTACTCATCAACTTATTGTGTCACAATAGTGAACAACATAATGAAAAGATTCCTGATGATGAGGATTAAACTAACATATCTCACTGGACCATTTGCGGTCTCATTCTACTGACAAACATACAGAGATAACCATTAAATGACTGATATATAGGTAGATAAGGATTAGAAGAACCACTCAGTCAGTCAGTTGCCACGTAAAACTACGTACGTATGTACATAAGTTCAGGTTGCCATACCACATTAGCACAGAGATGCAAATGTCAAACCGAATCCCATAGTGATAAAGATAGAAGAGGTATTAATGGTAATGAAGAAGACTAGGGTTTGAAGATATTATTCAAGAAGCATAATTCAGTGAGATAAGGCTGGAAAGACAAGGGTAGAGGTACTGACAAATCCAGAAGATTAGAATTTGAGAGAGCTCAACGAATGGATGCACTTGCGCCATTTCAAACGATTTTGAGCCATGTCATTCAAGGTCTCTAACCATTGGTGACCTTCGTCTCGCGGAACCCAACGAGGTAGTCCACATCTACCAACATGACTCAGTCCACTTGTCAGTGACTTCATGGATTTCTGCCATGTTTTGGTCTGGCCACACCTAGCTTTCTTCCAACCTATTCCTACACCACGAAACATAGTTCGTCGAGGCAGTCGGTGGTTAGCCATACGCAGCACACGTCCCATCCACCTCAACTGATGAAGTTTCACCACTCCATCTATTGATCTGCAATCCTTACCTAGCACCCGTTTCCTAACGACAGGATTGCTTACTCGGTTGTCCCACGGTAAACGAGCAATGCTTCTTAAACATCTATGATCGAATACTAATAACCTACGAACATCTTCTACTCTTTACAGCCATGTTTCACATCCATATAGTAGAACGGAGCGAACTGCTGCACAGTACACTCGTCCTTTGGTTAGTGAACGGATATCACGCCTACGCAACAAGTGACGCAGGTTGGCAAAAGGCAATCGAGCTTTCTGTATTCGAGCTGAGATTTCGTCAGTCACCAGGCCATCAGCGCTGATGAGACTCCCGAGATAAGTGAAGTGATCAACACGCTCGACAACTTCACTCCCTATCATTAGTTCAGGTGCCGATGCAACCCAGTGTTGAAACAACATTTTGCATTTCGTGGGTGAGAACCGCATCCCGAACATGCTTGCAATGTTGCTTATGGTAGTCAGAAGACTCTACATTAGAAGAACCACTGCTCGATGCTTAATGGTCGGTTTGATACTAACTAGCCCAGAATGTTGAAAAAGAACGCAGAACTGGTGATTACTTAGCCTAAATTGAGATCAGGACTGTTGTTTTGTTTTAGACATATATATATATATATATATATATATATATATATATATATATCACATCAGAACTATGGTAAATGATAGTTTTAAACATGAATGAGACAAAAAGTGGATAGGAGACTGTAAATAATAAACTAACAATCAAACAGTCATAAATAAATCAGATGATATTAGTTTATGGGTTAATGGAAATAATGAAGTAGCCTAATAATTTACTCTCACCAAATAATATTACTGGTTCTACTGTGTCTGTGTGTGTCTGTGTGTGCGTGTATCTTCACTCTTTGATTAGAACAAAGTGCCTAACGAATATAATTCCATGTTTCAGGGTTATCCGCCTACATCTCATTCAATAGGCAGTAGGTACTTACTTACTTACTTACCTAGTCAGATGACCTTCATTTTTTTTGTAGACAACCTACAATCATCACATGTCAATAAATACATTTAATTATTTTCATGTTTTTAATGCAGAGTACTTACTCTTCTCATAAATTAACATACAAATACACACACATGTCGACGATACACCACACACAATATTAGGTTATAGTGTATATAGTGTATAACAGTCATTAGGCACTGATCAGAATGTGATTTTCATTGAATCCGTTTATAAACGGTAATCGACATTTCACTGATTAGGTTATTTTTATGCGTAAAAACACTGAACACCTGATCTGTTTAACAAACAAACAAAAAAAGAACAATAGTTGAACTCGTTTTCAGTCTTACTCTGGTCACGCGATAAAATACAAATGTCAATTAATCAGAAGTATGTTTGTTATATGGGTGAATAATGTTTGTGAAAAGTTTTTAATTTTAATAGCACATCTCAGAGTGATGATGAGGTTTTCGTAA